CACTCGTCCTTGGAGAATTCAACTTTATATCCTTTGTCACAGAATTGACTCGTGCTTAGAAGGTTGAATTTCAGTCCTTCAACATAAGACACATCTTGTATTGTTATTCCCTTTTTGATAATGTCCCCTTTTCCACGAGTGTTGCCACTGTTTTCTCCTCCAAAAATGACTTTAGGACCATCTACTTCTATGAAGTTGCTCATCATTGTTTTATCACCAGTCATATGTCTTGAGCATCCACTATCAACATACCATATGACTTGTTTTTCCTCATCTTCGTCAGCCATAAGGCATAGATCTTCTGATTCCTGACTGAAAAGGCATAGGAGTCATTTTTCTTCTTCAGAGCTTTCATCGTCTGAACTCGAGCTTGAAGAGCTACTTTCATTGACAACTGTGTCAGAGGTTTCGTTCACCACCATTGCCTTTCTTCTTCTCTCGTTTCGGGAGCCTGAAGATTCTGGCTTGTCATTTCTTGTGTATCTATCTCCAGTCTCCTTGGATGGGCTTTTGGAAGTGTTGCTATCTTGATGCTTGCTCACTATTGGATGAGGACAATTGGCCTTAAAATGTCCTGGTTTACGACAATTGTAACACAACAGTTGCGAGTCTGTGGTTTCTGCTTTTGAGGTTTGAGGAGAATTTTCGTGTTGCTTTCAGTGTCCCGAACGATGAGAGTCTTGAAAGTTGTTCTTCCTCATAAACCTTTTCATTTTCCTGACAAAGAGTGCATATTGTTCATCAGATAAAAAATCACAGGAGTTAGTTTCGACCTGTTGGATGTTGATGCTGATTGGTTGGCCATTAGAGCGACATTTCTTGTTTCTGATTCTTCGGCATCCTTTGGTTCATGTTCGAACTCATATGCTTTGAGATCACTAAAGATCTTGGCCGTGCTCGTTGTTTTCATGTCTCGATTGTCCCTCATTGCAATGACCTTCATTTCCCAAGATTTTGGCAGGCCGCGAAGAATTTTTAGATTCCTTTCTTTCTCGGTCAATTCCTTCCCGAGATCAGTCAGATCTCCCATGAGTCTTGTGAACCTCAGCTCCATGTCCATGATTGTCTCATTTGGAAGCATCTTGAAATCTTCAAACTTCTTCATGACTACGGTCAGCTTGTTGTCTTTCTCCTGCTCATCCCCTTTCTCCTAGTTCCATCAAGACATTCCATATCTCCATGTCATTCTTGCACTTTCGGACTCTTGGGAACAAGGAGTCATCAAGAGAGTTGTAGAGGATGTTTCTTGCTACGTTGTCCAGGTTTGCTCTTGTCCTTTCTTCCGAGGTATACGAATCTTTAGGCTTCGGTATCATTTGCTCAGCACCAGCTCCTTGAGCTGCAGCTTGTGAATTTGCCATCATAACTGTAATTGGTCCAGTTGTTATGACGTCCCACATTTCGTCATGTATGGAGCAGAGAAGTGCCTGCATTCTTACCTTCCAGTCATCAAATTTAGCAAGACTAAAAACAAGCTGCTTAGAGCGATTAGCATGATCTTTTTACATTTTTCAAAAATTCGTGCAGAGCTGAAAAATATGCAGTTTTTCAGAGTTTTGATAGAGGATCTACCAGGCAGTAAAAACAAAGCCTTTACCGTTCAAGGTATTTGGCTCTGATACCACTTGTTGGTCCCGATAGAGTGTAGTGAGAGTCTAGGAGGGGGGGGGGGGGGTGAATAGACTCTTTTCGTGTTTTACCCCAAAACCACCTTTCGGTGTTTCAGCGCAACGGATATTTCAGATTTGATTATTTGCTTTGCACGAGTTTACGATATGAGGAATCCTTTCGGTAAAGGAGATAATGACGATGATATGAAATGCAGAAAGAAAATGCGTAAGTAAAGAGATAGACAAGACAAGAGATTTTATAGTGGTTCGGCTAATCGTTGCCTACTCCACTCTTCTTCCACAACTGATGGAAGGATTGCACTATCACTCTTTAGTACAATTACACAAAGACCTCCTTGATACAGCCTTCGTAGGTTTTTCCACTCCTCGAGTTTACTCCGCCTCTATCAACTTCTTCTTCAGAGTTGAGGTTGGTAAAAAATGATTTCTTGATTTCTCCAACGTGATGAAGTCTTGACTGTGAGAGATAATTGCTTCGTACAAATGGCAAGACTTCTTTAAGGTGTAAGTAAATGATCAATAACCTTCTTCAAGTCACTTAACACCTCAACACTGGTTCACAAGAGCTTTTAGAGATTTGAGAGCGTTCAAGAGCTTTTGCAAGTAAATGAGATGAGTGAAAAGAACCAGCACCTTCTTAGTTGATGAAGGTGGGTTTATATAGGTGATGAAAATTCATCCGTTGGAGGGAGATGAAATTTTCGAACCTTTTAACCATTGGATAAGGACCGCGGAGCTTCATGCATTAAATGCTCCATTAATGAGGTTGTACCATGTAGCCGTTGAAGGTATGGGAGGCATTAGGGTTTTGTCTTTTAGCTCCAGGAGATAGTACCTCTTCATTTAATGCTCCTTGGTAATCGTGTCCCCATGAGATCCTTATTTTCCTGGGAAGTTGTCAAATCAGACAGATGAAACATTCTTCTCGTTGTTGATGAGAAAGAATACTTGGAAAGAATCGTCTTTAATAAATCTGTCCTTTCGAGGTAGTTGACAACTCCTCATTAATTCTTGTTGCTGAACATCTTGTCTCGTGTCTTCTTTCGTCTTGTAGACCCTATCAACTAAACATAACTCATTTTCGTGTATTTGTCTAGCTTAACACGAATTACATGAGAGTTATGGCAACTCTCGTCTAAGACGAAAGTGGCGATCGAAAAAGCTAACAGTAGGGGTCTACTTTCTACATTACATTGGTATCATCAAAATCCTAATACAATGTTCCTAACATAAGCTCGGAGCTGAAAACTGAAGAGCTATTAAGCTAGCTGTTATGGTTGATAGTGTTTGGTAAAAATAGCTTTTTGATAAGCTGATAAATGTAAAAAGACTAAAAAAGACATCTTCATAAAATTTAAATTAGTTTGTTTACATATTAAAATTTAACATTTTGTCATTAAAAAAAATTAACATTTTGAAATAAAACTATTAACATAACCATGATCTAGCATCTCATAATGAAGTAGCAATATTGTTGCAAATCTCATAATAATAATAATAATAATAATAATAATAATAATAATAATAATAATAATAATAATAATAATAATAATAACAACAACAACAACAACAACAACAACAACAACAATAATAATAATAATAATAATAATAATAATAATAATAATAATAATAATAATAATAATAATAATAATAATATTTATGATGAAAGTTGCGGATAAAGGAGAAGAGAAAAAGGTTTTAAATTGGGAAGGGTAAATTATGTCATTTCTTTAAAATAATAAGGATAAAGATAGAAAAAAAAAAAAAAAAAGTTAGGAAGCTAGGAGCTTATTTTGAAACGCTATCTAAGGTAGCGTTTCAAAATAAGCTTTTATTTTAAGCTAGGAGCTTATTTTGGGACATTACCAAACAGAGCTTATAGCTTATTAGGAGCTTAAAATAAGGTATAAGTTCCTAAATAAGCTCTGTCAAACAGAGTCATTGTTGCTGCATCCTGACAATATTATTTACCATCAGCTTTTCCTTTTCTGAGTGTCTGAAGAATTATTCACCCAATTACCCATCACTCCTTCAGTTTTAATTTCTTCACTCAGGTAAAAGAAATATATTGATAATTTTTATATTCTTCCGTTTCGCTAGTTGAATCCATGAAGTTAATCTTTGAGATATCAAGATTTTCTTGATTCCACGGCGACTACAGAAAAATTCCCCCCTCCCCCCAAATATATAAGATAATTATTCTTCTAACTTTTTAATTTGTAGAATATAATGGAAGAAACAAAAAGTTTGGCTTGCTGGTTTTGTGTGCTCATCTGCCTCTTAACAAACACTTCAGCCTGTACTTATAGTCTTACAGCAAATGTATCGATCACACGCGTTGAAAATGATAAAGGCGCTCGTATAGTAATTATATTTTTGTAGCCTATATATATATATATATATATATATATATATATATATATATATATATATATATATATATATATATATATATATATATATATATATATATATATATATATATATATATATATATATATATTTCTTTTATTAATTTCCATAATTTCATAATAATAATTTGTTAAAGTTTACCTTTAAAATGTAATCTGTTTCGATGCAAGCCCTCCTTCCGGTATAAATAATGGGGTGATTTACATACATGTATATATGTAATTGGTGCTTCAACTTTGATTTTACATATATATATTATATGACTTATATCCAAAAGATGGAAAGAATGTTTTAGTTTATAATGGGAATTATTGTGTAATTAATTTTTTTATGGTTTTTATTTTTATACAATATTGATAATTTACAACATTTTAACATTATTCTAAGGGTGGTGGGTGGTGTACAACGGTCAATGATTGCCAAACACGTTCTACGAGCAAATACGGCTCTTCAAACAATTTACCTACGAGTGTTCTTCTTGGCAACATTTTGAGGAAAAGTTCTGATACAAATCCTGGTATAATAAACTTACTTTCCTACCAATTAATTGATTGATTTGTGTTTGATATTTCTTTATTATTGCACTCATTTTCATTCTTAATTAACTCGTGATTTGTTTTTAAATTCTGCATTATAGACTTCTGTAACTGGAACCGAGTTTATATTAATTATTGTGATAGGATGTTGATAGAGTTGATCCAGTAAGTTTTTTAAATTTAACATTTAAAATTCATAATATATTATCAATTACCATGTTAATTAAAAAAAACAGACAACCAGTTTTTATTATATTCTATATAGCATTGGTTTAGCTAATTCAAAGTAGATTTTTTATTTTTTTTTTATAATACATTTTAGTGTTCCTCACTGTTTTAATTTTCAAAAATCTTTCAGGCTACTAATCTAACCTATAGAGGAGGAAGGATCTTTACTATGATAATGGAATATTTGCTTAAAAAAGGATGGAAAATGCCAAAAATGTATGTTCACACACTCCAATACAATTTTTTGTTTTTTTTTTATTTTTTATTTTTTTGCATGAATGAATGTCTGTATATTTTCTATTTAAATTGCAAATTAAATAATCAATGATGCATTCATAACAAAATTTTATTAGTTATTTATTAAATTATCCCCAGCATAACATTATCTATCATTGTTAAACTTGAACTTATCATTGTTATAGGTCATTCTTTCTGGAAGTTCTGCAGGAGGCATAACTGCAATTTTGCATTGTGATCGGTTTCGATCACTTTTGCCATTCGATGCAAAACTTAAATGCTTTTCTGATTCTGCATATTTTGTGCACGAGTACGTGAGATTTAAATTCATCCAATAATGTATCTTTGAATAACTATAGTGCCTACAACTTAAAATTTTATAATCCTTCAACAGGAAATAATATTTGATGGGGGAGAAGAAATTTGAGAGTTTCTTTGAAGGATTGATTACATTACATGTAATATAGCAAATTTGTATACTTTAAATAGTTTCATCTCCCGGGGTTAAAATATTGTTGAACTTGAATCTGAATTCAATTTTGTTTCAGGGATCAAGTCAACCTTTATCTTGCAGAATTTAATCAAACCAAGTCTTGTAAGAACATTTACATACACACACATATATATACCTTGTTTTGATGTGTATGTTTTATGTCTACCAATATTAATTTTTTACTTATTCAATTTATAGTGCTTCTTTCCCCAATATCTTCTGTCGCACATTAAAATCCGGTATCCATTTCCATGTCTTCTTTTGACCATGTCCAGGTTAGTCTATTACAAATATATATATACACAAACATAGACAATGAATATTATCACATCCTTCAAAGGCACTCTCAAATTTCTTCTCCCCCATCAAATATTTCCGGTTGAAGGATTATAAAATTTTAAAAGTTGTAGGCACTATAGTTATTCCAAGATACATTATTGGATGAATTATTTAAATCTCACGTACTCGTGCACAAAATATGCAGAATCAGAAAAGCATTTATCTTTTGCGTCGAATGGCAAAAGTAATCGAAACCGATCACAATGCAAAATTGCAGCTATGCCCCCTGCAGAACTTCCAGAAAGAATGGCCTATATATAAAAATGATAAGTTCAAGTTTAACAATGATAATGTTATGTTGGTGGTAATTTAATAAATAACTAACAAAATTTAGTTATGAATGTATCATTGATTATTTAATTTGAAATTTAAATAGATAATAAACAGCCCTACATTCATGCAAAAAAAAAAAAAACAAAAAAAAAAACAAAAAAAAAAACAAAACAAAACAAAAAAAACAAAAAAAAAAACAAAACAAACAAACAAACAAAACAAAAACAAAAACAAAAAATAGTATTGGAGTGTGTGAACATACATTTTTGGCATTCTTCATCCCTTTTTTAAGCAAATCTTCCATTATCACAGGAAAGATTCTTCCTCCTCTATAGATTAGATTAGTAGCGTGAAAGAGTTTTTGAAAATTAAAACAGTGAAGAACAATAAAATGTATTATAAAAAATTTAAAAAATCTACCTTGAATTAGCTAAACCAATGCAATATAATATATGATAAAAACTGGTTGTTAGTTTTTTTAATTAATCAACATGGTAATTGATAATATATTATAAATGTAAATATTAAATTTAAAAAACTTACTGGATCAATTCTGTCAGCATCCCCAGTGAAGGAAGATCCATCACAATAATTAATATAAACACGGTTCTAGTTACAGAAGTCTATAATGCATAATTTAAAAACAAATCACAAATTAATTAAGAATGAAAATGAGTGCAATAATAAAGAAATATCAAACACAAATCAATCAATTAATTGGTAAGAAAGTAAGTTTATTATACCAGGATTTGTATCAGAGCTTTTTTTGTATCAGAGCTTTACTTGTATCAGAGCTTTTCCTCAAAATGTTCCCAAGAAGAACACGGGTAGGTAAATTTTTTGAAGAGCCGTATTTAGATGTAGAACGTTTTTGGCAACCGTTGACCGTTGTACACCACCCACCACCCTTAGAATAATATTATAGATTATCAATATTGTATAAAAGTAAAAATCATAAAAAATTAATTACACAATAATTCCATTATAAATTAAAAACATTACTTCCATCTTTTGGATATAAGTCATATATATATATATATATATATATATATATATATATATATATAAATCAAAGTTAAAGCCCCTACCAAAAAAAAAATCAAAGTTGAAGCACCAATTACATACATACCTGTAGGTAAATCATCCAATTGTTTATACCCAGCCCTTCTCCCATGCTGTGATAATAGGAAGGAGTGCTTGCATCGAGACAGACTACATTTTAAAGGTAAACTTTAACAAATTATTATGAAATTTTGAAAATTAATAAAAGAAATGGAAATTATATTTAGGCTACAAAAATATAATTACTATACCGGCGCCTTTATCATTTTCAACGCGTGTGATCGAAACATTTGCTATAAGACTATAAGTACAGACTGAAGTGTTTGTTAAGAGGCAGATAAGCACACAAAACCAGCAAGCCAAACTTTTCGTCTTTTCCATTATATTCTACAAATTAAAAAATCAAGAAAATCTTGATATCTCAAAGATTAACTTCATAGATTCCACTAACGAAATGGAAGAGTATAATAATTATCAATATATTTCTTTTACCTGAGTGAAGAAATTAAAGCTGAAGGAGTGATGGGTGAATAATTCTTCACACTCAGAAGAGGAAAAGCTTATGGTAAATAATATTGTCAGCTGCAGCAACCATATATAAAATGATGGAGTAATGGGGATGGGGAGTGAGGGGAGGGGGGTGGGTGGAATTAAGGTATTCACACGTATTTGAATTAATATTTAACAAATTTTGAAAGGATTAAAGAAATAGTAACAATTTTATTATATAAATATATAATAAATAAAAAAAAAAATTATCCGTGCATCGCACGTGCATTGCACGCACACTGCACGGATAATTGGATAATTATTTGCTCTAATTCTAGCAAGGATAACATCAAAAAACATAATCGATACAACTCATTTCATCAATTGCAATATATAATATTCGTTGTTATAATTTTTATTTGTATATTGATCAAAATATTCTTAAAGATCATAACAAATCTAATCCGTGCAACGCACTGGTAAAAATACTAGTAATAATATTGTGGTAAAATGTTACTGTGTGCAAAGAAAAAGCCAAAAGACATATTATGGAATAAATTATAATTATAACAATAACAATAGTGTGCACAAGTTTTGAACTTTAGACCTCCAATTAATGCTACTACCATTTCTTCATGAAGCCTAGCTTTTAAGTTTAATTGAAAACTTTTAGTTTTTATTTCTAAAAATATTGGGCTTCTAAAACTTGGGGCCCCTATAAAATTTGGAGCCATGTGCGGTAGCCCAGCTTGCACTGCTCAAAATCCAGGCCTGATGCTATATATATACACGGTTTATATGAAAACTACTGCAGAAGTGAAAATTTGTGTACAAATCCAAATCATGAATTTGCAAGAAGACCATTGATGAATTCTAATAGGTGGTTGAGATTAGATTATGTTCTTATTTGATCTTGTCGCTATATATGTATAGTGTTATTAATTTTGACCATCTTTTTATATCATGATATGTTAAGTCCTACCCTCAAACTTTTGCATCTTTTACCCCATCTCTAAGCTTTCTGCCATGAGGAACTTTGCATGTTAGGCCTTCACTCCATTTAATTAAATACTTGTTTTTTACATATTTATTTAATCATTCTCACAAACAAACTCTTTTTTTTTTTCATTTCACGGTTTAATATTTTTGTTATTGTTTATTGAGTTTAGATCACATGAAACATTTCTTTAATGTCATAATCTTAGATTTTTTTTAAAAAATGATCAAACTAGTTGATATAATAGTAATTAATAGGTTTCATTTAATTGTATAAGTATGGATTAGACTTGCTATATGGAGTCTATAATGCGATATATATTCACCACTTGCTAAGGAAGAAAGTAATTGCAACTAGTAATATCTCTTTGTCAAACAATTGATATTATCAAGAATTTTATTTTTCATGAACATGTTATTAGTGTAATTTTCATAGATTTCATTAAACTATATAAAGGTTAATCGGTCAATGACCTTGTGGTGAAGTGGCATAAAGTGATTCTCCTAAAGGGGATGTTATTAGTTCGCCCCTCAGTAGGAACTATATTGACTCTTTGTGCTTCAACAGGTTGAGAAAGAGTTAGTAGTACTCAAACAAAAAATATAAAGGTTAATTGAACTAACAATTAAAAATATTACCATGTTAAGCACTCCTATATTTACTTGGAGCACATTTAATACTTGTCAATTGGACGTTGACTGTTACGTAAATATATAAAGAAATAAAGTAGTACACTTGTCTCGCTACTAGTTATAATATTTGATGTAGTAATAATTACTTGATCTTGACAATTGTAACATTCAATAAATAGTTTCAATACTATATATTAACTCAAAGATTAATTATAATGTGTTGTTTGAACTTTGAATGTGTTTTTTTTTTTTTTTTTTTAAAAAAAAAAACTTTGAATGTGTTAGTTGGTACATTTGCATAAGATTGTACGAATTACATATAGTATTCTATGTACTTTAGCCTGAGAAGAGATATGCAAGACAGACTTTGGATTTTGTATAATCGCGATTCACGTACACTCACCTACCGTACCATGAATCCATGGTACCATATATGTTTGAGTTTTATGTATAGTTTTAAATTTTACTCCATCACTTTTATTTCTTCAGATCACAAATAAGTATGTGTTATTTTCAATAACTAGTATTTGTCTCGTGCGATGCACGGGAAATATGTTATAAAAATATACCATATATGAAGTTTATTCATATATAAAAATTTTATTATTTAATAATTATGTGTGAATTGCTATGATAAAATTATGAACATGTATAAAAATATTTACAATTAAAATAAGAATTAATATTTAAGGAGGGTGATTACTACAAATCTTAAACTATATTAAAAATTTAGTACATTGTATTTAATATTACAAATTTTTAAGGACTTAGTGAACTACAATAGTACTCTAGATCTAGAAATCTCAAAGATCTAAAAATTTTGATCCACGGTGACTGAAAATTGTAATTCAATTAGTATTGTAGTTTACTAAGTTCTTAAAAATTTGTAATATTAAATACTATGTACTAAATTTATAAGATTGACCTCATTAGAATACTCTCAATTGAAGTTTATTTGTGAGTTTTTGGATGGATTGGATGTGGCAAGAGAGATGAAAATGAATTAAGGTTAATTTAAATTTTTATGCACCATGTAATAAGTAAATAAATAAATTTTAACTATTATATAACCATATGGTTTCTTAACTATAATATAACCATATGGTTTGGTGAGCAATTATTGTTATAATAATTGCTCACCAAACCATATAGCTATATTATAGTTAAGATTATACAATATGTATTCTCTATTTATACTCCCTCACTTTTACTTCCTTATGTGGTAATTGATGATTAGTTATCTTCATCTTTGTGAGTCCCAATAAAAATGTCACCATCAAAATTTTGTGAGGAAATTTTGGAGAAAGAGTAGTGTTTTTTAATTTTCATCATGTGAGTCCCCAAAAATATTTTCACAACAACAATTTGAAAGTGGAGTAAAAATTGAGAGTAAAAAGTTGGAACCCACTGCACATAGTATTTTGCTATATATTTTCATAGAAAAACATAGCATTACAAATTAAATTTTAAATCTAAATTTCAAAAGCATACCATAGGTGAATATTAGCCTTGGGTGCATATATATTTATTTATAATTGAATAGAATTATACTGTGTTTTGAGACTAAGCGCAATGGGTGTATATATATTTATTTAGAATTAATTTCACTTTTGGTCCCACGACTTTTGATGTTCTATCACTTTTGGTGCACAACTTTAAAAATTTTTAATTTTGGTGCCTAACTTTGTTATTTTTATCAGTTTTGGTCCTTTCGGCCAAATTGACAGCGAAATGTTACTGGATTTTATATTGTTAGGGGTAAATCGTCATCCCAAGGAAACATTTTCAATATCTAAACAAAATCACTGTAAAATCATATCTATAGGTGTTTGACGATGAAAATAATGGGGAAGACGGGCAGAAACCAGACAGATCTATGGGATTTATAGTTTCGATCATTGACAAACTCTTCTTTTCCTCTTAATATGATTTTTCTTTTGTTTAAATATTGAAGATCTTTCCATGGGATGACGATTTTGCCCCTAAAATATAAAATCCGGAAATATTTTACCGTCAATTTGGCTGGAAGGACCAAAACTGATAAAAATAACAAAGTTAGGCACCAAAATTGAAAAAATTTAAAGTTGTGCACCAAAAGTGATACGAACTCAAAAGTCGTGGGACCAAAAGTGAAATTAATTCTATTTATTTATAATAATCGCAGAGACTCTAACAAATCAATATTATAGTATAGGCTCTAAATATAATTGACCATTAAATGTCATTATTGGAAAGTTGGTCAATTTTATGGTTACTCTATATAGTGAGACGAGGTTTGATTCCAAACGAGGACTAAAAAAGAGGTATAAAATGAACTTTATGAAATATATATCTTGTAATTATTACCACTTCGATCAATTAAAACTATAAAATAATGTCACTTGTAAATATGCATTAACCCCTTAAATCTTCTTAGATGTCTCTTTAGAGTTATCTTTTTCTCTCTTCTGACTATTCTCATGATGGATTTTTTGATTACTGTCTCATGATGCCAAATTTTATAGTTTAACAATGTTTCTTTGAGTTACCCCTTTGGTTTGTTGCTTTTAAAAAAAAAAAAAAAAAACAAAACAAATTTTGTAGTTTAACAATATTTCTTTTAGGTTACCCCTTTGGTTTGGTTTAAAAGAAAAAAAAAAAAGAAAAAAAAAATTTGTAGTTTAACAATGTTTCTTTGAGGTTATCCCTTTGGTTTGCCTAAAAAAAAAGTTTGTAATTTAACAATGTTTCTTTGAGGTTACACCTTTGGTTTGCTTTAAAAAAAAAAAAAAAAAAAAAAACAAAAAACAAAAAAACAAAAAACAAAAAACAAAAAACAAAAAACAAAAAAAAAAACAAAAACAAAAAAAAAAATCAAAAAACAAAAAACAAAGAAATAAAAAACAAAAAAACAAAAAAAAAAAATAAAAAAATTTGTAGTTTAATAATGTTTCTTTGAGGTTACCTATTTATTTTGCTTTTTTTTTTTTGTTTAAAAAAATTTATAATTTAATAATGTTTCTTTGAGGTTACCCGTTTGTTTTGATTATATTTAAACAAAATTATGAAGTGTTAGCACCCAGCCTATACGTGACATGTTACATAAGAGAAGAATAATCAATTAAATACAAACATTTATGTTTCTGAAATGGCGTATATATATTCACTACTATACAGTATAGATGTAGAATGTTAGAGATAGAATTTATTATATGTCATTGTCTTTTCTCTATTGTCAAATCATATCATATCTCTTTAATAAAGTGGGTAGATATTCATAATGATATAATGGGTTTCATTTACTTCCAATAATTATTTAGGCTATAAATCAATGTTAGATCAGCTTAAGTTACTTATATAAGTCAATGTTATAATGTTTACTACACTAGCTACTAAGTGTGTGTTTTGTTCATGGGTTTACGCATCATGAATGAGAATCAAAATCATAGGTAGTGTTAGGTTAATAACTTTTTAAAACACAACTATGAAATTTTTTTATTTTTTATTTTTGAAAGACACAACTATGGATTTGATTACCCCTTTAATTAAAAACCCCATTCCCTAATTAAAAAGGGCATCATTCTATCCTATTGGCAATATGATTTTTAAGTTTGAACTAGTGCTTTTAGATTTTTGTTTTGATTTTTTTTTTTGTTCATGTTGGTGCTTTGGATGTCATTATATTAAGATCAATTGCCTTAATTTTTTATTTTGGAATTTTTAAAACCTTTACTCCATTATACATCAATATTGGTAATCATAACCAAACATCAATATTGGTAATCATTCCAATTTTCATCCTACTACAAAACATGTAAAATACTTTTAATAAAATCCATTTCCATTTATCAAATATTTGATTCCATTTCGATTCTAATTTCCTTGTGCGAACCATTAAGGTCAATAGCGCCCAAATTTAATCCGTTATTAAGAAACTCTTTTGTGATGTGTCAATATGAGGGTAAAAGTAGCCTTTCGTGCATTTCTTCTGCATTACCGTTTGCTATAATTCCAACTAGTATTGTCCCGTGCGATGCACGGTTAAGTTTTGTCGATTTGTTTGTAGTATTTCAATTGACTAAAATGAATTTATTTATTGGACGCCAATTATGTTAAAGGTATTTGTCTAACCAAAAAATATGAATAACAATTTGATGTTTAACAAAAACTAATTGTCATCATTCTATATATAATAATATGTAAAGAACACAATATTACACATTATTAAACACTTCATGGTAAACAACGTTAGTAGTTGACGTACTAACACTGTTCGAGTCACTACAAATTAAAATTTTCAATCCGTCTGGATTGCTCACTCTAGAAGCAGCAACGTACAATTGACCATGAACAAAAACTGGTTTCTTTAAAAGTAAGCCAACGTGTGATAGTGTTTGTCCTTGACTCTTGTTAATTGTCATTGCATAGGACAACATTAAAGGAAACTGTCTTCTTTGGAATTTAAAAGGTAATCTCGGATCTGATGGTGTCATAGTCATTCGGGGGACCAACACTTTGGTTCCTGCGTTGTTTCCAGACATAATTTTTCCTTCAATCACATGATCTGCTAACTTCGTAATAACCAACCTAGTTCCATTGCATAGTCCAAGTGAATGATCTATATTCCTCAACAACATAACAGGTGACCCGACCTTTAAATTCAAACAATGGTTTGGAATGCCGGATGCCCTTATACCATTTAGAAACTCGGGAGTGTGCACATCATCAAGTAAGGTGCCATTTGAGTCTGATTTGCACACACTATCACAACTGTAGTAAGTCCTACTATCCCCAGTATGCAGATCACTCATGTATTCATTAATGGAGTTAACGACGTCAAGGGTTAGGGCTAATATAGCTCGACCTTCAAGAAGACTGGAATCTGAATTCCCAGACATGAACATAGGGAACGTACTTGCAACTATGTTGGTAATTGGGTCTCCATTAGATGGTAATAACAGTTCGTTTGGTATCTCTACCTCTGCATGACCATCATTTTGACCACCCATAGTTCCATCACCTATACTCGCAATCCAATCTGCAAAGTCCTCTAGTTTTTTCATGTCAATCCCCGGCATGCTTCGATTTAATCGAAGGTTTTTTGTCAATCTCAAAACCTTACAATTGTTCCATAGATACGATGAGTTGATTGTTGCAGAAATAATATCCTGTCTAGATCCTTTTGGTACAACTGGTAATATTTGCCGGAAATCGCCACCAAACACCACCGTCTTTCCACCAAATGTTTGGTCAGCACTGTTGGGATTTTGAAATTGAAGCAAATCTCTCATTGTCCTATCCAACGCTTCAAAGCAGTGTTTGTGCATCATAGGAGCTTCGTCCCATATAATCAATTTACTCCGGACGATCAATTCGGCTAGATGGCTACCTTGTTTAATATTACATGTGGAGTCTTCGTTTATTGCAATAGGGATGGAAAACCTTGAATGAGCGGTTCGACCACCAGGAAGTAACAACGACGCAATATCACTGGATGCCACATTGATAACAATATCACCGCTAGCTCGCAATGTTGATGACAACGCCTTCCATAGATAAGTTTTCCCAGTACCACCGTAACCATAAACGAAGAATAGTCCACCACTGCCATTAGACAAATTTTGGATGATTGTGTTGTAGATCTCTTTCTGCTCATCAGTCAATCTTGATGCCAATTCTTCGCTCTCTGCTTGGAGTGCTTCGCGATCATAGTTCAACTCCTCAAATAACAAAATGTTATCAACCAATCTTGAATCATCCATGTTAGGTGTTGGCATCAGAGGAAAGTTTTTAAGAGACTTATTGTGTATTATCAACAATTTTTCTAGCTCAATTAAACCGAAGTTTTTTTTCTCACACTCTTTTAGTATCAAATCTGTAAAGTAAAAAAAAAAAAGTAATAGTATTGTTAGTTATTAGTTATTAGTTATTATATATATATATATATATATATATATATATATATATATATATATATATATATATATATATATATGTAATTAAATATATTATGTAATTAAATATATGTTTTATGCACGATTCTAAAACCTGGTTTATTTAGTTGTTTTCTATGCATGAATTCAGCATCTTCGACTAAATGATGCCACACCTCATCCCATACATGTTCAGGTCTGGATAATGAGTTTGAAAGCAATAGTATAACAAACAACTTTCTCATCGCATGTCCAGATGACCAATAACTTGCTTCCTCAATTGCATCAATATACTCTTTGTCATCATCTAATAATCCACGTGCGTAACATGCATCCCTGAATGTCATGTATTCTACCCCATTAAATGTCATAATGTCTTTAAAACTGGTTGGTCCACGAACAATATTCAAAAGACATCTAAGATAGTATATTTCACCACTACCAGGAGGTACGAAGAAGATGCGACCAATTGAAAACCCCTTCTTTCTTGGATGCCACTCTCAAATATCTCTCTTCCAAACAAATTTATTGGGCATTTCAATGTATGTTAATGAGCGTGCATCTTCATATTTCTTATTGGCTTCGAACCATCCTTTGAACATACTTTGTCCCACTGTTTCACGACCTAAAACATTATCAATATTTTCATCATCAGCGAATACAATGGACTGACAATCTGGAAGGTGGAAGCTTAATCTTTCAACAGCCGGTGTCCGATATTGGACCTCAAAACTGAATAGTCGCCAGGCTGCCTCGCATGCTGAAACGTACCTACAATCATAGTACATATTAATCTCATCCACCACCTCCTCACCGTTTTCATCGATGGTACTATTGTAGAATTCTGCTGTGACACGGTCATTACCCTTGTTGACATACTTGAAGAGGTACTTGATTGATCTCGACTGGTTGCACCATTCTACGTTGATATGAGCCTTGTACCTCAAAAGCAAATATCTATTATGCGGGACAACATATCGGCTGTCTAGTTCTATACCATTCTTCTTGACTGTTCTACCATTGTCCCGACGCATATAAACTGGATACCCATCCTGGTCAAACTTAGACTCTGCTACAAATCGTTTGGGGAAGTGCTTTGAACACTTTCCATTAACCATGCACGGAGAATTCCTTCTGGCGATTCCACATGGTCCATGAACCATGAATTCCTCGACTGCATTGTAGTATTTCATTTGCATTGTCTTGTCTGGTACCTCAGCCTTTATGATTGAATCCATGTACGTCGGACTCGTCATGTCAACTTTGTTCTTGAGGAATATTAGAATATGTGCATGCGGTAGTCCACGTTTTTGGAATTCAATGGTGTAAATAACTACATTTACATAATAATCTTCCATTAGTTTAACATGATATACGTAGACAAAAGTAAAATAAAAAAAAAACATAGCGTTTAATGGAATTCAATATATACCTGATTTCACAGGACCAAAAAGCTCACCATTCTTTACTTCCTTTATTAGACAATCCAATTTCATCTTGAATATACGGCATAAAATATCCGGACGATCTTCTGCATTGAGATTTCGCTTGGTAATGTACCGCTGTATTTCGGGCCATTTTGGATTACACGTGAACGTTATGAATAGGTTGGGGTAACCAATGTGTCTACAAATGGCCATTGCATCCTGGTAATTCTGGATCATGTACCTTGCTCCGCCCGTAAAACTTGATGGTAAAAGTATTCGCTTTCCTTGGGTGCTAGCTTGTACTTCACCTCGCGTCAATGCATCTGTCAGTCCTTTCAAAGCTTCGCACCTCAGCGATTTTTGGTGTGTCCTTATGTATATAAGCCTGGCAGATTCAACCATTGTGTATGCATCCACTATAAATTGTTGAAATAACCTCCGAGCATACAATATGGTAGAAATCTCTTCTAACCTTTCATGTAATCGATAAGCAAAATACTCCCGTTGAGATATACGTTGCCTTGCATTGTTGTTGTTAGAACCATTGGTTGCAAACTGTATATCCTCTCTATATCCATCTTCCCCATAAGGAAATAGAATAGGATATTGCAATGGTAGGTATGATGGATTTAATTCAGTAATTCGCTTAAGCACCCCGGAATTGCTCTCAACCAAAATATCTCTGTGGCCTATGGATGGATCTAAATCACCAACAATAAGTGCAGCAACCTCTGACGTCGTTGGTAGGTTATAAGTTCTTGCATCTTTAGTTCTCTTACCAATTAATCTCATTTTTATCTCTACACGTGGATTTCTCTCAATTTCTGCCTTGGCCATACGGAATGATTTAACCAACACATTATTCCCGTCTAAAACCTCCTTAATGTCCTCCACCACCTCAGCATGCAAATCTTGTGTAGCTATGTTCTCCCTTTATAGAGGAATAAAGAAAATGACTCGTTATATTTATTTAAAGTAATTGTTAAATGAATTGATGAAATTAACAAATTGTGGCATCATGTACTATACCTGACAGAAGCAATACGATTCTTAATTTCATTATCAGTATCATGAATATACAATTGTGCAAACTTCGGATAGGTCCCATTTGGTGGAATCAGGCTACCAATACGATGGAAGTTCTGACCATGGATTCTGAAAATTGGAGGGGATGACCCATTGTTTATTGTCCTGTCTATCTTAGCACCCATTGATGTAAAACAGAACATATTATTATACGATCTTATATTTTGAAGAAAATATTTCTGCTTTTCACTCAATGTAAAAAAAAGATTATATAACTTCTTTGGAGGTAGTGTGTTTCTAGGCAGTTTGATTTTCCCGTTCACACAACATCCTGAGTATTTAGCTGTGTTTTTTGTTTTTGACTTGTAGAGTCTTTCCTCGTACCAAAAAAAACCACCACAATGCTCACATATGTCGTCCGGGTCACCAAGGTCTACAGATTCAACTGAAATTGTAGTATAGAATATTAAGAATTTGTGAGACAATATTTACTTTATACAATCAAATTCTTATAAACTAACCATCTTGTATGTTTGATGTGTTTGTTTGATGACCAAGCACTTCATCCATTTCTACACTTAGGTTGGGATAGTTGTTTTGAGTCGGGAGAGCTGAATCACAATTTGACTCCAAATGCATTTGCACATCATTTATTGTACCATTCCCACATCCTAATAGAATTAACATCTTATTAGATGTTATAATAATAATAAGTAAATTTGAACAGAATATATACTTTCATTGTTTTTTTTTTATATATATCAAATTTTGATTTTGAATATTCGTACGTGTAGATGATCCATTGTCTGACGCATGATGTATGTCGTGGATTGATGAACTAATTAATGTGCGTTCTACAAATGATGACATTAAAAAAATTAATAATTCACATTACAAAAAATAACATACAAAAAAAAAAAAAAAAAAAGACTTTAAGTCTAACCGTGAGAAACTATACGCAACGGGGTAGAGAGTGATGCTTGAAATACACCGTAGATATGATTTCGTGTTGTAATATCACATAGACCTCCACTGGTTGAAGCTTTACTTATCTTAGAACTTGACACAATTTCATTCTCTGAGAAAATAAACAATAAATATATATATATATATATATATATATATATATATATATATATATAACAATATATTTAATGTTATCTACAGACTTTCAAAAAAAAAATGTTATCTACAGATAAGTGCAAAGGAAATTGACTACAAATGGAAATTATAATTTTTATTTTATACCGTAATAATAATTAAATAATTAAATACTATAAAATATAAAAGAAAATAACATTCTATAAATATTGTTATGTTCTAATAATAATACTAACTTACTAACTATAACTAAATAGAAAAATAAATGTATAAAAAAGATTGGTTCGAATGTTTTTTAAATAAAGTATTACTGTGATTTATTTAATGTAATTTATTGACCCAAAGACCAAAAAATATTACCCCCAGAAATATAAATAGATGAACAAAAGAAATATTATTAAAATTCTATCCATTCGTTTTGTAATATTATAATTGACTAATATTATTTATACAATGTAAAAAATGGTAATTATAGTTTTTATAAAGTAAATAATACATTAAATAAAAAAATGTTAACAATAATCCCCACGCCAATAATAATAATAATAATAATAATAATAATAATAATAATAATAATAATAATAATAATAATAATAATAATACGGAGTAATAAAGAAAATGATAGTCAATAGATATGTCTCTCGGGAAGCTTCTCATTTCACCATTTCTGTCTCTCTCTACACTTTTCAAAACGAAGAAGATGCTTCTACTTCTCCTACTTGGATATGTTTTTTTGGAAAGCTCAAGGTTGTGGATCTATGTATTTTTTCACATCTCAAGTTCATAGATCCTAAAATATTCTGAGATTTCACTATGAAGTATGAATCCACTGGTTCGGTTAGAGGGGAGGTCCAGGGTGAGACTGAGATCACTGAATGACGAAACATCCACGGGTTCGGGTTGTTCAATGCGGAAATAGTCAGATCAGCATGAAAAGTATGGGAAATGGTCAGATCGCAACTGAGGCGGGTAACAGAGAGAGAGAGAGGATTGGGATGATTTGATGAGATAGGGATGAATGTACTCCGCATAGCTTTCGTACTTCTATTACACCACTTATAATGCTTTAAGAAGAGATGAATGTTAGACTGACCTCTGTGGTTCTCAGCAGTCCTTCGCTTGGATCCTATACAAACAGAACCTGTAAGTTTCTTCATTTCTCACTAAATAGCTTTAAAGTAGTGATAGATTAGATTTATAGCAGCTGTTCAGTTAGTGGAATACTAATAGTTGGATTCTAAATACCAATTTGATTATTAATTGTGTTGCCTATTCATATTTTGCAGTGTTAAATGTCGAAGGGTGGAAGAGTATATGGGTACTCCAGTTTTTGTGCATACATAGTGAGTTGATGTCAACCATTACCGTGAATGTTATGAATTTAGAAAGTGAATGTTGAATTTTATTATTACCGTTTAATATTGCTGCTCAGCATTTTGCTTCCCCTTAGGCCCTTATATTTAATAACTCTCTTAATAAAGTGCTAAATGAAGAAGCTTTTAGTATTTCACTTAAGATGATCTCAATGTCGTTTTGAGGTTACTGTTTTTAGGACAATCATGTTGGCAGCTATCTCCCATACTATGAAAATAAACCCCACATCTGTGTGTAACTTGGGCCTAAATTTGTGGGTATTGGTGAGTGTAAACTTCCATTGTATTTATGGCTTTATGCCCATGTCCAGATGGTTCCAGCGTTCTTGTCCATTATTGAGTGATGTGATGCTCAATTGACAACCTGCTTATCTGTGCTGAGCATGTATGGGGAGTTAGAGTCGGGAAGGAGGTTAGGGGCTTTGAGGGGTGAGGTTTTGTGTTTCGGTGTTTCCTAAAATTACAGAGTAAAGCTCATTTTTCTGAGATGGTTTTGCTTAATCCTCTATATTTGTGTACTTCTGTTGATAACCTGAGCATAACATCTGTTCATCTTAGTGATATTAAAGGAAAAATATTTATTATTTCAGTTCTGAGACGAAATCTTCGTCTGTTTGTCTTTTGGTGTCTTGTTCAGAAAGCATGGTGTAGTGCACTCATCATCTAAGAACAGCCAGTTCACCTAGAGTTCCGAATGGCTTTAACGACTTTGAGGTTAAGGTGTTTGACGGATGTGCAAACCCATACCTCGGTCTGGCTTCCATCATTGATGCTGGGATTGACGGTCTATGCAAACACTTAACTCTCCCCCAACCATTAAGTAAGTTTGCACAATTCTCTTACAATGTCAGCTCTGTTAAAACTACTCCATTCAGACAACATAGTAGTTTGCTGCTTGTCTTAGTTTGTCATAGAATTCTTAATATTAGTTTTGAGATATTTTGATAATTTATCCCGCTAATTTTTGTATGGATGACGTCTACCCTCTCGAGAAACTATGCCAAGCCGATATACCTAAAGGAGTACACAATGCGGCATGAGGATCCCGCTAATTTCTGCGTGGCTGGTGTTTACCCTCTCGAGAAACTACGGCAAAGGGCATGCGAGGCTTGGAAGGAAATACCACTCTCCTGTAAGCTCACTATACACTATACATACACTCTATTCTCAATTGCTCATTAACATATATGTCAATTAGAAATTCCCATTTCTCGGCCTCTTACTCACATTGTTGCACATTATTTTTTTTCACAGCATTAGTTAACTTTATATTGTTGTCTTTTATTACTAAGTTTTAGACTGTAAATTTTTTTTACAAAAGCTAATTGTAATGTTCTGAGTACATCATTTGAGGATATTGTTGCACTAATTTGAGATTTTCAATCATGAGAATTATCAAAAGTACTTATTTTCAATACTTTACAATATTGTATAACTCAAAAATATAATAATCTATACATCTATACATTCAAAAGTACTTATTTTCAATACTTTACAATATTGTATAACTCAAAACTATAATAATCTACACATTTATACATCCGAAGAAAAAAAAATAATGGACTCTCTATAAACATCTATTATAGATGTATAAATATTTCTGCTTCTCACTCGATGTAAAAACAATGGACTATTATAGATCCACAGGAATTTCTTCACCATGGACTCTAATCACCAAATCATCACATCAGCTAATCACCACATCTGCTATATATGTTTAGGAATACTTGAACTCACTGCAAAAAAATATTCAACAATCCAAACAATTTGATTACAATGCAACCACCTACTTGGAAGAGGAGGTGATTGAAAAACTTGATAATCAAACCTAATATTCACAAATTCACAATTCACAAATATTTTAAAACAGTAAATTTTTCAAACCACGGTAAATAAGCAAAACGATCCTTGAGTCAGGCACAATTTATTAAAAGATCCATGTACCATTTTTTGTCCTTGAGCCACCAAAGACCCTAGTAGCAGATGTAACCAAAATTAAAAAAGAAAAGAAATGCCAAAAGGCATCATACTGTCTTTGTAACCCAATAACCAAAAAAAAAAAAAAAAGATAAAATGCCAACAGGCATCCTGGTCCACATGCATCAGAAACCTCAGCAAAGCAATTTATATTCAATCACTTTCCTCCTTAATCCCTTTGTTCTTTGATGTCTGGGTTGATGAAGACTCGTCTAGAAGGAGCCTCTTTACAACTGAACTATCACCCACATCATCTTGATTGCAAGCAACACCAACCCCAAGAAGATTTTCCCCTTCATCAACCTCAACAAATTCCTAATTAAAAAAAAAATCAAACTTATTATTTGCACATAATAATCGTTACAATAAAATAACATAAAGTGTACCTCCTCAAAATCATCATCCTCCACCATTTGGTCAACTTTGGAGCTCAAATACTTGTCAGGAATGCGCAGAAGCTCTGGTGCATGCACTTGAATCAATCTTTGGTCAGTGTTTATCCTCATGACAGAAAATACGTTGTCGAGATTCTCAAATTGTTCTTTCCTAACGACCACCCTAAATAGCATGCACTGTTTAACCAAGGATTGTAATTCTGATGGGATCAGTTGAGTTGCCTAACAATAAAAAATAAATCTCCCGTTAAGAATCAACAACACAACAACACGTACTGTAAAATACATTTATATATATTCCCAGAACTAAAATGTTATAAAAATATACATTTGAATGCC